AAAATTAATGTAAGTGTAAATAGGCATTTTTTTGTTTTTCCATGTTTTATCATCACTTCAAAAATCTATATTTTTAAGATTCCCCATCCGAAACAAAGACATTAAAGGGAAGTGGATTGAAGTGATTAGTAGTAGTAGTAGTGCGTTGCGCAGCGTAGTTTGTTCGACACATTTTGTATGATTTTTGAAATGATGATGATTTTTGTATTTTGACACGATTTTTATTACACACATAAAAGACTTCGTCGTGTGGTACAAAACGGTTATCAAAAGGTTATTTCCAACGTTTCTATCGTATTATATTTAGTATTATATAATAATAAATTTAAAAATGTCGTTTATGATATTATATGAGATATTTGACTTCCATAAACTGATATCTTTAAAAGATAAAGGTGGCTTAATCTTTCCGTCGAAAGATGTTTTTGAAATTTGCGTAATTTGTGAAACTATTGGGCGTAAATTATGTAATGAAGCATGAAAACCAACACAAATTAGTTGTTATTAATATTTTAGAATAATTTATTGGTACTGACAACGTTTTCTCTAAATTGGAGACTGAGCACAATTATGCTGGCCAAGAGCATAAAATAAGCTTAATAAGATGCATAGTTGAAAAATATTCATCAATTCGTTTCCACCATATTTCTAAATTGGAAACAATTTCCAAAACGGTGGACGGTAAACGGCAATATTTCAAAAAATTGACCCACCAAAAACGCTATTAAAATAAAAACTATATTTTTTTTCATATTACTATTGTTTTATTATTCCCCTACTTAGTCGAAATAAACATACTTACATTCTACTTAAAGTAGGTATAAAATTAAAAAAATTGCCAACTTATCTTTTTACTTATCCATTCATACTGATAGTAGGTACTTAGACAATAATATATTAAGGTAATAAGTTTTTACTGCACGGCAACACTCAGTTAGTGCACACATGTTTAGTAAACCGACCTCACTTCATTGTTGACAGCGCTCTGTCTTGAGTTTTTATTTCGTCTGAGACCTAATGTTGGATCTTCGAGAAACTGTTCGTTCGTTTTTCTTTGACAAACTGTTTTTTTAAAAGTGTTTCTGAATAAAACGCCCAGTACTATTAGGAGTCAATTGCGGACAAACAACGTGACTCGTAATTTATATATATTAAGATATATACATATTGTTAATAAATGATAATATGAGTATTATAATATCAACAATTATTTTATTTCCATTTTCGTAACCCCTAGCATACAGGCTGGTCGCGTAAATACCTACGCAGGCGGCGGCATCGCCGGACATCAAAGGTGTTTTACAACTGTAAGGTCTTAAAACTGTAATATATGACTGTTAATTTGTCGGTACGATACGCGCGCCACCTACTGTAACTTAATTGTACTTTGCCTATAACCAGAAAAAAGTTGACAAAGTTTTAGCGCAATCTGATGAACGGCTGGCCGTATGAGGACGCTCAAGGTCTCTATGGCGAGCGAGCTATGGAGAGGGTTATGCTCGGAGTTTCTCTGCGTGATAGACTCAGAAATGAGGATACCCACAGTAAAACCAGAGTGACCGACATAGCCCAACAGATTAGTAAGCTGAAGTGGCAATGGGCCGGCCATATAGCTCGAAGAACCGAGAACCGATGGGGAAGAAATGTTCTCGAGTGGCAGCCTCATTCGTACCGGTAGGCGTAGTGTAGGGCGACCCCCCACTAGATGGAGTGACGACCTGGTAAGATATGCAGGAAGTCGATGGATGCAGGTGGCTCAGGACCGTGCTTTGTGGCATTACTTGGGGGAGGCCTATATTCAGCAGTGGACTTGTGAAGGGCTGTAATGATGATGATGATGAACGGTATGGCAGCGCATAAAATACGAATAAACAAACTGAAATTCTGCGGCTGGCATTAGTCCGAACAATTCCTCAGAGCACTCCCCGTGGTAGATGCGCAAAGAGACGCAACATCTCTTCGCAGTGCCAGTGAGTCAAGCCGATCTTAAAGAGCTGGGTCGCCGACGATTCGAACTGCTCTGCGCTGGATGCGATCAAATGGAAGAAGCTGGCACTGGGTAGAAACAACTCAGAGATGGGAACAGTATTCAATGTGCGGCCGAACCTGCGCCTTGTAAATTTCCAGACGGTGGGCGGCATGAAATACTGTCCCGCTCTGCTGAGCACGCCAAGCTTTTTAGAGGCCAATTTGGCTTTCTCTTCCAAGTGACCACGAACTGCACATCACTCGATATGTCGACGCCGAGGATTCCAATAGTGGCTGAGGCAACAAAAGGAGTGCTTTGAAACTGAAGAGATACGACAAAGGGGTTCTTTTTAGCGGTAAACGCGCAAACTTGTGTCTTCTGGGAATTAAACTGGACTAGATTTAGTCGCCCCCAGTCCGAGATTTTGTTCAACCAAGTCTTGACTTCAGTATCCCGGTACTCGGCCCCGTTTTCCTGAGAAATATTGGCACGGCCGGTGTATAAAGCATCACCAGTGCTGTCGTCTGCATAGGAATGAATGTTACCGGTTTGCAACATGTCATTGATATGCAGAAGAAACAGCGTTGGTGATATCACGCAGCCTTGTGGAACACCAGGGTTAATAGGCTCGTAATCGGAGCATACAGCAAGAAAACTGGTGATCCAATTGCACAATTTCTCGGGAAGCCCATAGGAAGGAAACTTCGTAAGAAGCGCTTTGTGCCAAACAAATTGGACTCTACTGCCTCCGCCCATTTATGAATTAGGTAACCCAGAAGATCACCAGCCAGCGACCGCGACGGAAACCGTACTGGCGGTCACTAATCAGCTGGTGATCCTCAAGGTACCGCATGAGCCGGCTGTTAATAATGGATTCTCTAAAGAACAAGGTGATGGCGATAGGCCTATAGTTGGACAGATCAGAGCGGTTACCTTTTTTAGAGATCGCGTGCACGAACGCTGTCTTCCATGATTTCGGGACTACGCCTAGGGAGTAGCACACGTCTTCAGCACACATCAAGCCCATTCGACTTGTTGACATCCAGGGAGAGAAGTGCTCTGCGCACCGAGCGTTAGGTAAACAGCACATCCTGCATGAAGCACTCACACTGCGGGATGTTCGGCGGAGTGATCCCCTCATCATCAATAGTCGAGTTGGATGCAAAGAGAGAGCCCAGTAGATCGGCTTTGTCCTTTGCGGCATGAGCCAGTGAGTCGTCCTCCTTGTGTAGAGGTAGGAACGATGGCTGGCAGAAGTTCCCTTGGACAGTCTTGGCGAGAGACCAGAATGCAAGAGTTCCCTAAGGAAGACTTGCCAATTCTGCTGATGTGCACTTTGTCTTGTCTGTTTTGTTCTATCTGTTTTACTTTGCCTTGACAATGACACTTTTGAAGGGCCTGGAAGCAGAATTATACTTCTTTTTACGAGCGCTGGTATTTGCATCCCGAGACGTCGATGCGCGAGCTCAAGCCTGATAGCATTCTTGCTTATGACGTAATGCAATTTTGCAGGAGCAACCATACCAAGGCTGGGTTCTGCCTCTGATAGGTACCACATATGATGGAATAAAAATTTCCATTCCCTGTAGTACCACATCAGCGACAGAATCAGCAACAACGCTGGGATCATCCGGCGAGAAACAAACCCACCTCCAAGGGTAGGGTGCAAAAAATGATCGCATCCCGTCCAATTCGGATGACCTATAATGTCAAACACGGCGGCAACCTGCAGTACGCAACCGCGATGGGAGCGTGAGTGGCACCATACTCTGGATTAGATAATGGTCCGAGGAGCCAAGAGGGGCATCAACGGAGACCTGATATCCATCCGGATGAGAGGTCAGGATAAGGTCCGACCGGGAAGGTACATGATCTTCCATATCTTGGATCCGCGTAGGCGAGGTAACCAGTTGTGTCACCATTTGCAAAAGCAAAGTCATAAACAGATCTACCCGCATGATCGGTTAAACGAGAACCAAGCCATTCAGTGTGGTGCGTGTTAAAATCACCAAGTACCACGATATCTGCGGATGGGACCCGTTGTAGCATGGAGTCTGCAGTCATCTGGACGTGGTCGATCAGTTGGTCTGTGTCGGCATTACCGCTATGGGACCTATGGTGGCACCCGTAGACGCGGGGATGGTCACCGCTGTCTACGCGTAGCCATAAGATGGACAGGTGCGTACCTTCAAAGCTGTCGAGGCGTCGAAAAAAGATGTCCTCTCTGACGTACACGCAAACTCCAGCCCGGGACACAAAGGAATGTTCTAATTTGTACCCCGGGTAGAAAAGATATGTGAACTATCAGCCGTATACAGGACACCTGTGTCTCGGTTAAAAAGAGCGAGGCCGGCTTCGCAGTTTTTAGATGGTAGTGGACGGCTTTAAGGTTTGAATCAGCATCAGGGGACTCATGGATAGCGTGGCAGGAGCAATAAGTCAAAGGAGACCTTTGACTTATTGCTCCGTTTGCCCCGAGCAGGTTTAGTTTCAAGCGGAATTTCGCCTCCCCCCCAAAAAAACCCGGGGGGCAGCCTGTGCAGCCACGCTCAGGAAGAGGAGTTTGGGTGTGGATGCTCAGCGAGAGATTCTCCGTCACCGGGGGTGCTGAAACCCTCCTGGGGAAGTGTTATATTTTAACTCCGCTACCATGTTAAGGGGGGGGGGGTTAGAACTGGGCCTCCGGCCACCTGCACTCACAAGATGTGTTTATATATTGTACTTTTTATATATTTAGTCATTAAGTTAATTTTGAAAGTAATGGCATTCCAGTTGATGCGTGCATAAAAAAGTCGTATCCTCCAGTGGCTTACAACTGGCTTACGTACTGGTAAAAAAAAAACAAAGACATAAATGAATAATTGATTCCAAGAAGCGAGAAATATGTATAATAATACTTAAAAATGCAAAACACATGGAACAAAGTCTAGGGATTGCAGGAAGAAAGTGAGTGCTAAAATGTTACAATCAACATAGAAAACAATTTAAATATATACTAATTAGTTAAAATGTTTTCAAATAACTAAACTAATTACATTTCATTTAACGGTCTAATTCCTAATATTTCTAAACCAGTTTTCACAACATATCGGGCAGTATGAAAGACTAACAACCTCTGAGCTGCTACATCACTGTGTACATTCTTCACATTTAACTCATTGAACATCCTATTAACATGTCTTGCTAATCGAAATAAGTAATTCACAATGATACAAGCTTCATTTTCCAAAAATGCCCTATTTAATATAACTTCAAATCTGGCCAATTCAGCTACAACATCACCAACAACTTCTTCATTAAGATATTCAGGGGCACAGATTTTGGGAATCCCCACTCCACAATTCTGTTCTAAGCTCATTAATCTGCAATGAAGATACTGAAGCTTTATTCCACTATCTCCATCACTTTGAAGTGCTTTACCCCAGTCAAAGACGTAGTCCTTTTGCCTCCTTTGCTTCAAGTCATTAATTACCACAGCAGTTGTACCAAGTATGTCACATGTTTGTTCATTAATTGCAGAGCTTCTTGTATCTGTAAGTAATATCACTATATGTAGATTACCACTTGTGGTTGTACCAACAGTGCTTTGCAGCATTCCTTGGTGGAGGACCAAGTTCTGCAGTGGACTTATTATATCTAGGATCCTAATGTTTAAAAATTTTTAATTACATTTATAATACTACAATAATACTTTATAAAAAATTTTAAAGGTTCGGTGTTCCCCGGCACCATTGAAATTAATTAATAAATGTATTGCAATTTTTAGTGCTGATTTACCACATGCTCGGCAGTGAAGGAAAACATCGTGATGAAACATTTGAAGTTCTCCAATATGTATTGGGGCAGCGTGTGGACATTTCCTTACCCTAAAACCCTACTCAACATCGCCGGATGAAGCCCAACGCATCCTAATTAAAACGCACTTCCCAGGTTGCTGCGTAACCCAGGAGGCAAACCGGCATGACGACATACCGACACCAACAGTAGAAGATTGGAATTTAGCACAGAGAGTGGTAACGATGGACAAAATCCATTGGGCCATTCACAGTTTCCTCCTCTATAAGGCGGCAGGACCTGACCCGGCACTCCTACAGTGGGGGGGGGGGTAAAGCCCTAATAGTCAGACTTGTTGCCATAATGAGAGCCTGTCTGGCTCTTAAATATGTTCCTAGGGGATGGAGGGAAGTGAAAGTCACATTTATACCCAAACCAGGTAAGAGCGATTACACTGACCATAAATCCTACAGGCCCATTAGCCTCACATCCTTTCTCCTAAAGACGATGGAGAGGATGTGTGAAAGGGAATTAAGGGGGTCGGCGCTAATGAACTTACCACTACACGACAAGCAACACGCCTACAGTCTAGGCAAATCAACAGAATCGGCACTTCATCAGGTAATTACAAAGATTGAAGAGGCCATCCAAAACAAAGAAATATGTCTAGGTTCCTTCATAGATATAGAAGGTGCTTTTGACAGAACGAACTTCTCCAGCATAAAAGGTGCACTCAGTAGACATAAAGTTGAACCGGCACTGATCAACTGGATAGTTTGCATGCTCAGTACACGAATAATAAAGATTGCTGGTGAATCTCAACCAATCCTAATTAAGAAAGGCTGCCCGCAGTGTGGGGTTCTCTCACCTCTCCTGTGGAATATGGTCATTAATGAACTCATCAGCAAATTAAATACTAATCACTTCTATACAGTAGGTTATGCTGATGACCTGACAATACTGGTCTTGGGAAAGACAGCAAGCATAGTGTGCGACCTGACCCAAGCGGCTCTCCGTATAGTGGAGAGATGGTGCAGGGAATACGAATTAACCATCAACCCAAATAAAACGGTTTTAGTAATGTTCACACAAAAACGAATGCTGAATAACTATCATCTTCCAAGTCTTTTCAGCACAAAACTCCAGCTATCCTCTGAGGTAAAATATTTAGGTCTTACCTTGGACAGCAAACTTAACTGGAATAAACACATAGAAAACAAAATCAACAAAGCTAGTATAACCTTCTGGTAATGCAGAAACATGATTGGCAAAAGATGGGGACTGACGCCAAAAATCATACTGTGGCTTTACAAAACTGTAATTCGGCCCATGATCACATACGGCGCTCTGGTATGGTGGACCAAGACAAATGAAGCCACCACAATTAAGAAGCTTCAGCGCTACCAGAGACTGGCATGTATGGCTGCCACAGGCTGCATAAGAACTACGCCAAAAGCAGCCTTGGAAGCGATGCTGGAGCTAACTCCGCTTCATCTACATATACAACAAGAAGCGAGTTTAGCTGCCATCAGACTCAAGACCCTAAATCTTTGGAGTAAGAATAGTGTCCCTCATACAGGCATAATTGATAGAATTCACTCAGAAATTCCTATCCTACAAGCCAAATACGATAGGATTCCTAAACAATTCGTTTTCGATAAGAAATACAAGATACAATTAAATGAAAACAGCCAGCCGGAAGGATTAAGCCCAAAAGAGCTTAGAATTTTCATCGATGGTTCTAAAACAAATGAAGGTGTAGGTTCTGGAGCTTTCTCTGAAGACCTCAATATTCACATATGCACACCGCTGGGTACCTATAACACGGTCTTTCAGGCGGAATGTATGGGTATCATTCAAGCGGCCATAGCAATAGATGCTAGGAAGGTTAATGACTTCCCCATCAGAATACTGACCGACAGTAGGGCGGTACTACAAGCTCTGAGTTGCAATGGGGTGAACTCGGGACTAATATATGAATGCCATCAACGATTAAATGAGGTATGTAAAAACAACAATGTGACTCTGCAATGGATAAAGGGACACAGTGGATCCAGAGGCAACGATGCAGTGGACGAACTGGCCAGAAGAGGATCGGCTCTGGCCACTATAGGGCCGGAACCAATCATACCAATCCCCTTTGGTAATGTTCGTTCAATGGTACGTAGACACTTCACTAATCAACACGCTCAGCTTTGGAAAAATCAAGTAGACTGTAGACAAGCTAGGGAGGCCCTACCTGTAATAAACAGTCGCTTAACCAAAGTTCTAATGAGACTGAACAAGCCGCAGATCAGGATAGTAACAAGTGCTATCACTGGACATGGAACCTTTAACAAACATTTATTTACTATAGGTGTTACAGATAGTCCCCTGTGCAGGGCATGTATGGGGGAGGAAGAAACGGCGGCCCACGTGCTACTGAAATGTCCGGAGGTCGCTACGTACAGGGCTAAACATCTCGGCATGCCGGGATCACTCCCCGAAGTTGCATGCAACATCAAGGGACTGTTGAGCTTCTTCGGGGAGATCTCATGGCTCGAATAATCACATTATTCCTGCCCACACGCAAAATACGCGCATAGATGTGGAGTTGCGGAAAACAGCCCGTCGCAAACTAAACTAAACTAACCCTTTAAAAAATTAAAGGTTTCATATATGGTAGAGCCATGCTGTAGCTATATTAGTAGTGTAGTTGTATCACAATTGAGTCGGCTCGACCGTGGAGGGACCACACTCTCACAGAATACCAGCTTAAAATAGCAGTTGAACATTGTTGTTTCGTATGGCGAGTGTAGAGAACCGGAGACCCCTTTTACAAAAAACAAGGCATTCCATCTTAGTCCTCATGGGTAACAATGCACCTGCATTTTGCATTTCTTTAAGGATATAAGTTATTTGAATGATCCGAGAATGTATTAGGGTCAATGGGGAATATATCGAAAATGTAAAATTTACTTGATTTCCACCCTATTTTCCCTGTTATTCTGCACTTCTCCTTGTAAGCCCAAGGGACCTTCAAACATTCAGACATAAATTCTTTAATTAGTGTTTTTGCAAAAATACATATTGGCTCCTGCTGAGATGTAATCCCAGACATGTTAGTCTCAACTCAAACATTGTATATTTTAAATACCATATAATGTGAATTGTAGGGGTGGAATAATTCTTAATTAGTGGTGTTATAGAAGCAAGCTCATTACAGGGCTTTTTAAAAAAATAAAGTGAAGTTACGATTAGACATGCAGGGTGTCAATAAATACAGGTATTGCAGGACCAAGCATTGTGCAAGTTCTTAGAAGTAGGGTATGTTCAGTAGTAGTCATATGATGGGGCGCAATATGATGGTGATAATCAAATATAATAATATTTCGTCAATATTTCTAAAATTAATACAAAGTGCTTAGGTATTAAAATTACTTTTAGATATTGCCTGCTTTTCTTGCATAATGTGTTTTGCCTCATCTAATATATCATTAAGAAAAACAACACTCCCTGATCTTGTACTCATTCCTTTAAGTCTACCAAATTTTATATGCTCACAACCTTCAGCACAATCTTTGTTAATTTGTCTGACTATATCAAAGAGGGCTACAAAGTGATCTGTCTGTGCATTGTCAACAACATACAGCATTTTATCAAAATTGTATTTTTTATATCTATCCAAAAGTGCAGCAATGTCTCTAGAAAGATATAATGTTGAATTATCACTTTTTAAGACTGTGACATGTCTGGCTCTAAATTTTGCAACCTTCTTCCCGTCATCATCATTTACTATTACTTTATTCTCTTCTAGTAATCTTAATAACCCCTTTATAGCATTTCCATTGTATTCCGACTCCCATTGATAACAATCAAACTGTACTCCTAATCTTTGATAAACTTTGTCCAGTTCTTGAACAGTAATCTCTCGAATTCTCCTCCAATTATCTAAACTTGTCTTTCCCTGTTCTATGTTTGTAAAATATGTTCTAGCCTCTTTTTGCACATTTTCATCAAGTGCAGACATTTTATTTGCTTCCACATAAATTTCATATAATTTTTTAATTGGATTCTCACACTCAAATTTTTTCATGTCAATATGTTTTGATTTCAAACCATATTGCAAGAGTCCAAACTGTGTGCCCCAGTCACCTAAGTAATTTATTTTTACAACATCATTGTGGAAATAATTATTAATATTGGCTATAAAATTACCAATTATTGTAGACCTTAAATGACCAGCATGAAATGGTTTTGCTATGTTTGGTGAACTAAAATCAATAACAACTTTTTTAGGTTTCTTATTTACTTCTGGTTTAATGAATTGAAAATTTTCTAAAATTTCCTTTATAAATACATCTCTGTTTACTGTAAAACTTTGTGATTCTATTTTTCCTATTTGTCTACTAAATACTTGATTGTTAGACTTCTCCGTACTCTCAACTTCTCGTGTTTTGCTATAATTTATATTAATAATGAAAAGTTTCGTGTCGTGATCATAGGAAAACTGAAAATACTTAGCATTGTCAACAATATTTTTCGTAACATTGTGATGTAATATCTGTAAAATATTTGAATATATTTAGACGTAGGTACAATTTTTTTTTTCAAAGGTTCCTCAATAGGTCATAATTGATATAAAATTTACCTTATCAAATATCGTGACCTTTAATTTTGTGTTCATAGTAAGCAGTGATTTTGTGCTGCGATGTAGCAATTGTTAGCAATCACAATATGCAGAACATTATATTATGTTATGCACGAAAAATCGTATAGAAATTTTTCTGTAGAGTTTAACATAACACAATAGAATAAGCTTAAAATATATTATTACGCAAGAAATCCATCGAATCAAACAACAACAACTTATTATTTAACAACAAATTATTATAAAATACTAATAAAAATTAAAAACAAAGAAAAGCCTATGAAGTCCTGAATTTCTTAGTAGTACAGACAGTACAACAAAGGTACTCTGTGAGACAGTACCTGTCAATGGGTGCGTTTGGCAGAAAAAAGCGCTAGCAAGCGCTTATAAGCGCTAAAATAGTTTTCGGCCAGGACACGATTGCTACTTCAGTAGCGCTGACACAATCCGCCATTTTGCTTATTTAATTTGTTTGTTTTGAAGTAGAGTTTATAAGTTGTTTTGTGCAATATTAGTTTTAAGTAATATAATTACATGAATAAACATATACATGCTATTAAAAATTCATGATTGGTAAGTTTTTAATATGAATACTTTACAAACAAATATTTAAATTAGATTAGATTCCCCCGGTTAAAACTAACATCGTGTCCTGGAGGAAAATAGCTACTTACGATTTGACAGCGCTTACTGCTTACTATCGCCATTTTGCTTAGAAGCGCTTGCTAGCGCTTTTTTCTGCCAAACGCACCCAATGTCATACTTTATGGGCATGCACTAATTAGGTCGGCATGCCCATAAAGTATGGCATTGACAGGTACTCTCTGTCACGGTAATTTTATCTATATCTCTGTATCCGCAGAGTTGAGCTGTCGTCAAAATTTCCCAAAAACTTCGCAATGTGACGCATCAGCATATTAAGGAGAAAAAATATCAAAAATGAAGATTCTGTAAGAAATTATAGTCTCAGAAGGGCTAGAACCCAGAGCCAGTAAAGCCAGTATAAAAAATATTGTGTATATCGTAGACAGAGAAACCTATAGACTAGTGATTAGCGTGGCCTCGAGTGAGAAAGGGCGATAACGTAGTTTTAGGTTATACAATAATCTTTATGACTTTTAAACATATTTTAATGAAAAATTTAATTGTTCTAAGAACTGAACTGAACAAGATTCTTAAGCTCACAAAACACTTTTTTCTCACTTAAACTAACTTGTAAACTCCTTAGATCACTACGAACTAAAAAGTTGTTTGTTGAGCAAAGTGTAATTTGCTAAACAAAAAAACGGCACGGAGAAAGGGACAAACAATCACACCGCTCTGTTGCATTTTTATGCAAGACGTATGCGTAAATCTATCTTTTTCGTGTGCGAATGCGAAAGAAGGCGTCAATATCTCTGTCTACGGTGTATATACTAGAGACATTTATTTAGGGATCCGCAAAAAGTATCGAGTACCTTAGTAGTATTGATACTTTTAGTTCGATACCTAGTATTTTTGTACTCGATACTTTTATTAGAGTATTTTACTAAGTATCGATACTTTCTTAGTTCATATTCATAACTATATTATTAATTGCATCCATAATGTTACAGTTAAGGTGTTGAGAAAATTTTAAGTTTTAACTTGAAACTATGAGATCATTATGGGCCCTGCAGGACACGGCAATTAAGAGAGAGAAGGGCCATTATAATGAAACAATAATGATGAAATACACTATGTAATATATCAACTGTAGGTAATTCTAGGTAGGCATTTAAAGTTTGTCCTTTAGTGTGTAGTAGTGTTTACAAATTAAAAATTCCTATAGTTTATTTATAAAATTAGTGTGTTTTTCTACATTTTTATCGAGTTTGGGAGTTTGTTTAAAATTTTGATAGACATGACGAAGGGACCTGATGAATGTAGTTTAATCCGAGATGTCAGTTTTTCTTTACGTTTGATATAATATTCTGGGTATTTTTTAATGAATTTGCAGATTTTCAAGATATATATTATTCACGGTTAGGTGAGTATTTTATGTTTTTTTTTTCTCTTTATTAGGTTCACCAACAATTGATAACACTAACACATCAAATTAATACAATTACTTAAAAGTAACACAAGTGCAACAATTACTTAAAGGTAAACTCCGCATGCATATATAACTTTATAAAAAAAACTGAAAAACAATAAGTTGTTCCTCAACTAAAATTAAATACATATTTATTAGTAAGATTAGTGCTGCATAAACTAAAAAAAAACTTTTAAAAAAACTAAGAAATCTATTTTAATTTACGCTATTAACTTATACATTAACGGAGACACTTAGAGAATGTTTTGGGTGAGTCAAAGTGAATGTCGATTAGATCGCTATATCTATTAATAACTTTGCAGAACCTGGCATAAGGAGAATTCTTTCCCAAGACAGTTCTTCTTAATGGTGGACTAAGTGGTGCAATAGAGCTGCGAGGTAATCTCGAAGGTACACGAAACTTAAAAAGTTCCATTAAACTGGGGCAATTAAATGTAGAATTAAATATTTTATGTACAAAAACTGCATCATTATACTTTCTGCGACTTTCTAAGGTTTCTAAATTAAAATGATGCAATTTACTATCATACGACCGTAGCTTTTTGCTTTACCAACAGAAAATGCTAGATGCCAGAGGAACCGCTTTTGAACACGTTCGATACGTAATGAATGTGTAGCATAGTGTGGCCTCCAGACCACACTACAATATTCTAAAATATTACGAACTAGACTGTTGTAAAGAAATATTTTGGTTTTGAAATGCATATTTTTTGAGTTTCTTATGACAAAACCCAACATTTTAGATGCTCTCATAATTATGTTATCCAAATGGGGTACAAAAGTTAATTTTTTATCATATATTACGCCAAGATCCCGAATGGTCTCTACTTCCCTAATTTTAATATTATGAATAAAGTAATTTACATGTATTAAATTTTATTTTCTGGAGTATTTAACATGATAACATTTACTTGTATTTAAGTCCATTCTGTTGTTGCAGCACCATTGGATTAGTCTATCAATGTCACTTTGTAATAATTTAGTATCATCATCACTCTTAATTATTCTCATAAATTTTAAGTCATCAGCATATAAAAAATATTTTGAAAACAGAAAACAATTTTTAATATCATTTATGAAAAAAAGAAATAAGACTGGTCCCAAATGAGAACCCTGAGGAACACCGGAACTTATAGTTTTAGTACTTGATTGAGAACCATTAATTGCAAATAAGAAGGTCCTTTGTACTAAATACGAATTCAACCATTTGAGTAACGAGCCACAAATCCCGTAGGCACACAATTTAGAAATCAAAATCTTATGCGAAACCTTGTCAAAAGCTTTGCTAAAGTCGGTATAAATAACATCAGCCTGATGGCCCATATCAATAGCCTCGTACAAGAATTCCGTAAAAGGAACTAAATTCGTACTAGTGGACCGAGACCTGAAGAACCCATGCTGATGGTCACTTATATAGAGGCTTAAGTGCTGTTGAAGATGATGACAAATCAACGACTCAAATACTTTGGCAAAGGTTGACAAAATTGAAATGGGTCTATTGGAAATGATATCGATATTTGACGACTTATGTATGGGAAATACTTTTGCTATTTTGCATTTTGAAGGAAACATGCCAGATGCTAAAGACAAGTTGTAAATAACTTTTAAAGGATATATCAATTCCGAAGCACATTCTTTTATAAAAATTGGTGGTATTTCGTCTGGCCCTGCGCCTTTATTACAATCTAGTCCTTTGAGTTTTTTTTTAAATTGTATCATGTTCTATTTTTGGATTTGAGAGACATAAGCTGTTATTTACTGGTGATTGTAAGTAATCGGACATGCATTCGTCATAACTATCATCATCCTCAGGCTATAAACGGAAGAAAAGTAAGAAGCAAACATTTCACATATAGCTGAACTATCTGAGCTGGAAGATGATCCATCGCTCATGGTTGTCGTACTTGACCCACCCCTCTTGTCTTTCACCATCGACCAAAATAGTTTGGGATTTTTCGAGAGTGTATCTTCACATTTTTTCAGATAGCGATTGTAACACTTAGTTGCTAAGTTTCCACAACGCTTGCCTATAAGTTTTAATTCGATTCTATCTAACGGATTTTTATATTTATTATATCGCTTCCGTATCCTGTTTTTTTCATTCAATAATTTAATAAGTTTATGATCAAACCAAGCTGGAAATTTGTAAGTTTTCGATTTATAATGAGGTACAAAATTTTGTACTGCTATGTATAATATTTCGTAAAAGATCTCTAGAAACTCATCCACATCACACAGACCATCAAACTTCTCTACCCAATTTATTTCTCGTAAAAAATTTACGGATTAATTCGTAATTTGCTTTATAAAAATTTGGTCTCTTATTATTGATATTATATAATAATAATAATAATAATAATAATAATTCTTTATTGAACACAGAAATTAATATACAATTCATAGATACCCTGACTCCTAAACTAGGTTACCCTGTATGTTAGGAGGCAGTTTCCCCTCCCATTCAGTTAACTTACATTCCGTGCACAATGCAGACTCTAAACATAGATCAAAAAAAAAAAATAAACAAAGTGTGTGTATGCATGTGTGTGTGTGTGTGTGTGTGTGTCTGTGTGTGTGTGTGTGTGTGTGTGTGTGTGTGTGTGTGTGTGTGTGTGTGTGTGTGTAGGTGTGTGTGTGTGTGTGTGTGTGTGTGTGTGTGTGTGTGTGTGTCGGTTTTTGTTAAAATATGTGCTTAAAGTAGGTTTTCACAGTTTTCATAGTCGTATTCTTTTAGCCAATTTAAAATAGTTTGTTTGATTTGGTGTCGTTTTAAGTTCTTTAATTTAATTTTTTTTATTAATAGCATTGTATAAATGAGGTGCTTGGTAGTCATATTGCCTTTTTGCTAAAGCGCTTTTGACAAATGGTACTGGAAATTTTTGTGTTCTTTTGATTCTATCTACATCTATGGAGCAAATATTATGATATCGTTTTATGCATTGGTATATATACGATTTTCGTA